CCTCGAGCAAGTCATAGACCTATTTTCCCTTTTATACAGATTATTAGGCCGTGGTTTGTTTGGCACACAGCCTGAACTCAGTCATATATATATATATATATATATATATATATATATGGGATAACACACTTTGCTTCCACAAACAGGACTTTTCTCCAATAATTAAGTGTTCAATCATTCCTCGGGAGAGTTTGTTCTCTATCGCTTTCAGAATGCAAATCATAAGAGAACATTTATGCGGCATACAGGTAGACCATGTAGTAAAATGTTAACGGATAGAGAAAAATGTGCGCATCCAATCAGAGACTGAGCATCGTCACAAACATCATCGCTCACAGAGAAACACCGAGAGGCCAATTTTACTGATTGCTGTCATTTTGACAAGGTTATCAAGGTAAGCCACGGCAACAACAGTATCATCTCCGTCCCTGAGAAGGTGGACATGGATTTTCAGTAAGTGGATGGCTCATGGCAGATTGTTGTCTTCCGTCACCGGAGTTCCCTTCGACGAAAAATAAGACTACGCATATATGTGTGTGCGTGCGGAAAATCCACATTTGGCAGAGAGATGAACATGTTCAAAGTGGAGCTGCTAACCTCGAGGTATGCTGATGTGTGCTACGTGAAGAAACAAGCTCAATCAGAGGAAGTGCAATTGGAAACAATGGACCGATTTGCCCGGCATATGGTGCATACTGTCTGTGTGTGTGTGCGCTCGCGCGAGCACACGCACACACCAATAGGCCGAACCGACCTGAAATGAAGATGACAACAACAACAACAACAATCAGTCAGCTGATTATCACGTCCGATTGTGTCTCAAAGCAGTCGGTTATGGGGTATTCTGGAACTCAATCCAGAAGTCCGCAAACGCTTAACCCTTTTTATTTTCGTAAGAACTTCCTCATACGGCATTATCTGTTTGTTGTGTTTTTCCATGGAGTGGGAGCTGCAGAGTACAACACAGAACGTGTTTTTCGATAAATTTCCCCGTTTTGTCTTTTTTTCTACCAAACTCCTTGGAAAGAAGCGGGAGCCTTTGAAACTAAGCAATTGGCTCTGGTTGCCTCAACATTCTCACCTGGTGGATATGGAACATATTACATGTTGTTTGACATTTTTCAAAGACTGCACCTCGTCTGGTCAAACGAAAGACAAAAGTTAACGATTCCATCTGACAGGTTAAACAGGAGAAGAAATGTGGCCTGCGCCGATAAACCAGAAAGAAAATAATTACAATTCCTCACAAGTGTATGATCAATGCTAAGAACGTAGTAACGCCAAGCTGATATTTTTCATTAAAATATGCGAACTGAACAGTCGAAGGAACGAACTCCACAGTCAAGAGGACTTACTACTATTCACCCAGAGAACTCATGATAACCGGTTTGAATTCGAGTGATAAACCACATACTACCCCAGCAGAATAGGACTGACCTTGAACCCGGTTACAATAAAGTTGTCTACCACCGTTTTTGGGTGCTGATGTCAAGGTTCGAATCCCGGATCTTAGATTTCAAAGGCCGTCGGCGACGGCGAGTTTAAACATTTGACCACCAAATTTTTACAATACAAATTCTGTTCGATTTTAGAGTAAGGTATCCCTGTGATTTGATTCAAGTTGTTGTACATCAATCAAGGCAGACAAAGATAATTACTAATGCCGCCCGGGGGGGGGGGGGGGGGGAGGTGACGCCTTTTCTCGTTTGTCAATACGCTTATCCAGTCAGTGAATAGCTAACCGTAATCAAGAACAACACTATTCTCAATCCAGGTAGCTGTTATCGGCCTTCGTACAAATCATGTGACTTGACAAACTCGCATATACGTGACGATCCTGGGTGATGCTCAGCTGTTGAAGTAAACAAACAATTCTTTGCAATTCAAGCTATATGGTCTCATTGAATCTATCACCCAAATCCAAGCCTTTAGGAATCATGGAATCCAGAATTCACTTGGTTTGAAAAAAACAATTTGCCCAATATGTCCTAACTTAATTTTCTCGCCTGATTTCAGTATATCGCAACAGTCAGTTAAGAACCTCACTGCAATCTCAACAGTCAGTCGATTGCATCAAATCCGGAACGAACAAGCAACCAGTCCATTCCCCACTGATGCTAGCCGAACACACAAGAATTTTAATAACACTGAGCAACCCATAAGTAGCCGTTAGCACAATAACCATACTACTGAGTGTTGCCTTATTGAACTAACAATGACATGTCAGTCTGAATGAGTCGGTCGATTGTACGAACAGAGTCAAAGTCCATCAGAGTTCCACCGGAACAGCCCGAACTGGACTGTGCAGTACACACACACACACACACACACACACACAGACATGCCACATGAATGCGCATCGGTGATTGTGTGAGCGAACACTGGTGGCATCATAAATACGCACACATTTCAGTGTGGAATCCAATGCAGTTATGAAAATGTGGAGGACTATTCGAGTAGCAATCGATTTCGTGTGCGATCAGCTCTCAGGACGAGATGAACAAACAATTCGATTTTGGATGGAGCGCCGACCTGTCCACACATGGAGTCTGGAGGGTGATAATCTCCAAGACCCTCAGTGTGGTCGGGGTGATGTCTCGGATGGCGGTTGATCACCCCGCCCTTGCACCTCACGGAATGCTCACATATGACTAAGCGTCTCAAATAGCTGCGGAAGCCCTACTCACTGCCTTCTCGCGGCGGAGGTGTTTTCCAACCAAAATGAGAGGACGAAAAGTCAATGTCCGGGGCTATAACCGGGTCGATGGCTCACTGGTAGTTCGACTAAGGGAGTTGGCCCAAAATCCCTAATTCCAAACCAACCAAGAAGAGGAGTACGAATGACACACACACCTTCCTGGTTATGGCAGTCGTCACCGTCTCTATTGGGCACCGTGTCATGTTGGGCAACTTGGTCGTCTGACCCCGTCCAAAAGGCATGTGATCCAATGAACTGGACACCGGCTCCCGATGGATTTCGGTTTCACAAACCGTCTCACTGCTTTGCGGGTCAGGCTTTGGTTAGCAGAAGGCTCCGGTTGTAAGCATTTCCTAAGAAAATTCACCTGTTTGAACTGGACAACTTAGCAGTAACGAGCCCTTGAGCAAATCACAGACCTTTTTTACTTTTTATAGAGATTATTGTACCGTGATTTGTTTCGCACACATTCTGAACTCAAACGT